CTGCAGGAGGGAGCTCAGCCCCACCCCGTGCTGGTGCTCAGACTCTGAGCCCCCCAGAACCCCAAGGAGCCTCCCAGGAGGGATCTAGAGAGGCTTTGGGACACAGGCAGGGACATGGATGGGTTGGCCTCACTCAGTGCATCCTCTACTCAAACATGTCTCAGCCCAGGTGGTTTCCGGGCCACAGAAGCCCCTTCGGACGATGATTTTTGGGGATGTCCCCACTCGAGGTGAGCTGGAGCTGAAGGAGCCCCGAGATGAACATCCCATTTACAGAGGTATAAATGATGCAGACCCAAAACAGGAGAGAGCCCTGGATGTCTCTGTGTTCTCTGACAGGGGGATGTTTGGGAGCCCTGGATGTCTCTGGGCTCTCTGACAGGGGGATGTTTGGGAGCCCTGGATGTCTCTGTGTTCTCTGACAGGGGGATGTTTGGGAGCCCTGGATATCTCTGGGCTCTCTGACAGGGGGATCTTTGGGAGCCCTGGATGTCCCCTGGCTCTCTGACAGGGGGATGTTTGGGAGCCCTGGATGTCCCCGGGCTCTCTGACAGGGGGATGTTTGGGAGCCCCATCCTGGCTCACCTGGAGCTCGTCCTGCTCTCCCAGCACCTTCAGCAGGGCCAGCTGCTCCTCATCCCGGGCCGTGATCCGCAGGACCTGGTCCCTGCAGGGGGCAGAGGGAGGGCAGGGATGGGGGCTCGGGCTGGGAGGAGCCTCTGGAACATCCCCGGGGGCTCGGAGGGTTGGGAAGTGCAGCAGGTGTTGGGAGGAGAGCAAAAAGTGCAGGTTTGGAGCAGCCACGGGAAAAGAGGCAGTGCTGGAGAGCCCGAGGGGGTTTCAGCCTGTCTGAGCAGCTCCCAAAATGTCAGGGAACGGCTAATATGGATGTGCTGTCTGTATCCATGGATTTGTGTCCCAACAGCTCCCACTCCAGCCTGGCTGGGCTCTCCTGGGGTAAGTACAGCCCTTGGAAGGGAAGGAATTCTCTCCTCCAGGTTCTCCCATCTGGGATCGCTCCTGAGCCTCCAAGCTCTTGTCCTGTTCCTGATTATCCTTTTCCTTTCTCTCAAAGCCTGAATTCCCTCTCCTTGTTTCACTGATCCTGAAATCCTGCAGGGATCCAGTCACTTTTCCTTTTAAAGCTGCTCCCAAAATCCCCCATGGAGCTGTTCCACCTTCCCCCTTTCGTCTCTTCCTTCTCTCCACCCCCCCTTTATCAGTTTACCCACGGACAACAATTCCCACTGGCCCATTCCCTGCCTGCAGGAGTCAGGCAGGCCTTGCATTCCCAATTTTTCCAGTCCATGGACCCCTTCAAACCACGGCCTCCTGTCCAAAAAGGGGGATATTCCCACCCCTGAGGGGGAGGGAGGACCCGGGGTCTGTAAATGCTCGGGATGGAAAGGGATGACAGAAGTCAGAGGATCCACCAGAAATTCCAGAGTTTTGTTAGGAAATGACACGCTTGGCCTGGGAGTTGTGGGTTGGAGAAAGGGCTGGGGGGAAAGGGAAGGGAGAAGGAAAAGAAGGGAGGAAAGAAGGAAGGAAAGGGGGGAAGAAGGAAGGAAAGAAGAAGGAAAGGAGTAAAAGGAAGGAAAGGAGGGAAAGAAGGAATAAAAAGAAGGAAAGGATGGAAAAGAGGAAGGAAAGAAGGACTAAAGGGAAGGAAAGGAGGGAAAGAAGGAATAAAAAGAAGGAAAGGATGGAAAAGAGGAAGGAAGGAAGGATGGAAAAGAGGAAGAAAAGGAAGGAAAGAAGGATGGAAAGGACAGGAAGGGATGGAGGGAGGAAGGAAGGAAAGTTTAGGGAAATGGGAATGGGTTGGAGGCTCTGAGGGTCCCTACATTCCATGCCCTCTCCTGGCCTCACTCCTGCACCTGTGCTGGGCTCTTACTTATCTGCAGGAACTGCAACAGGAATGTTTGTCCTGGAAAAGTCCTGCCTGACCTCCCCACGGCCCCTTCTCCAGCCACAGCTTGTTCTTTCCCACGGCCTGTAATTCCCAACCATCCTTGGCTCTTATTCCCAGCAATCCTTGGCTGTTATTCCCGAAATGCTTTGTCTGTTATTCCCAACAATCCTTGTCTGTTATTCCCAACAATCCTTGTCTGTTATTCCCAACAATCCTTGTCTGTTATTCCCAACAATCCTTGTCTGTTATTCCCAACAATCCTTGTCTGTTATTCCCAACAATCCTTGTCTGTTATTCCCAGCAGTCTTTGGCTGTTATTCCCAGCAATCTTTGTTGTTCCAACAATCCTTGTCTGTTATTCCCAACAACCCCTGGCTGTTATTCCCAACAACCCCTGGCTGTTATTCCCAACAATCCTTGGCTGGGAATCCAACCCGACAATCCCTCCACAGCCATCCAGCCCCCACTGTCTGGGACAGACCCCTTATCCCTTCATCTCCCGGGATTCTGCCCCAGCAAAGCCTGGGGTGACGCTCCCGGGCTCCGGCATTCCCTAATTTCCAACCTCCCTCCATCCCTGGGGGACAGCACGCCTTGTCCGGGTTGGGAAGCAGCCCCGAGCCGATGAATCCCCCGTGCCGTGGGAAGGACTCACCCCCGGAATCGCCGCTCGGCGCCCGCGGCTCCCACGAGGGCTGCGAGCACCAGGAGGACCCTCATGGTGGGGGTGAGGACACCCCGAGCCCCCCGGGATGGACAGACCCTCCAGGCCGGGAGAAGCCCCTCCGGGAGCTCGTGCCGAGGCCGTGGAGCGGCTCCAGGAGCGGCTCCAGGAGCGGGGTTGGGAACGGGGCTGGGAGCGGCTCCAGGAGCGGCTCCAGGAGCGGGGTTGGGAACGGGGCTGGGAGCGGCTCCAGGAGCGGCTCCGGGAGCCCAAATGTCCGCTTGGCTTGGCAGAGTCAACAGCGAGCGGGGCCGCCTCTCACAAGGGCCCTCCTCGGCTCCTCGGCCCGGCCCGCAGCCCCCGCGGGCTCGGGAGCCCCCAACCCACGGCAGGAGGGGATGGGGGGGGGCACAGCCCCCCAAAATCCACCAGCAGGGACAGCCTGGGCCTCCACGAGTGTCTGTGTCCCACACATTCCCTCCCGGGGGGCTTTCTTCATTCCACGTCCCTCTTAACGAGCCGGTTCTAATTATGATTTCTGTGTAATTAGAAATTCACCAGCGGGAAAGCAGGCAGGTATATATAGAGATATGGTTATACAGATAGATAGGATGATATACATACAATAATCATATATCTATGGAACTAAAAATAGATATAACATTCAAATAAGTTATTCAATTTATTATTCAAATTATCATTTATATGATTATTCGATTTATTATTCTATTTATTATTCAATTTATTGTTCGATTTATCATTCGAAATGTTGTTCAAATTATTATTCAATATATCATTCAATTTATTAATCCATTTATTGTTCAATTTATCATCCAATGTATTATTCAGTTCTTTACTCAAAATGTTATTCAAATTATTATTCGATCTATTATTCAAAATATTAATCAATTTATCATTCGATTTATCATTGAATTTATTAATCGATTTGTTATTATTCAGTTTACACCCTTCACTCCTGGCGCTGTTCATCCATCCCATCCCATCCCATCCCAGGATGGGGCCCCCTGAGGAGGAGGGATCGTGCCCATCCCATTGGATGTCCCGGAGCCCGGTGCAGCACAGGGACGTTCACCTGAGAGCCAGGGGCTCTGTTTTGGGTGGGAAAGGAGCGATTTTGGTCTTTTCTCGGCGCGGGGGGTGCGGGCGGTGGCAGCCACAGGCGGTCTTTGTTTTGGGCTCACAGCGGCTCTTTGTTCCCGGCACAGCAGCGCCTTTGTGGGCCCTTTATCTGCCGAGCTCCCACCTGGCCCGGCCGGGATGTTCCTTCTTCCCGGGCCGCATTCCCAGCCCGGCTCCTGCTCCCACGGCGCCTTTTCAGGGCAGGCATCTCCAGGCCGGGTTTCCCCCCTCTTAAACCCGGGATTTCTCCCCGTTTTGGGGAAGGTGCCGCGGCCCGGGGGGTGTTGTGGCTTCGGGAAGGTGCTGGTGGTGCTGGGATGGACCGGGGGGGGAGCAGGGAAGTCTTTGTGGGGATCAGGGGGTTGTTGGGATGGGAAGGGAACACAGGAGGTGGAAATGCACCCTCCTGGATGGAGCACAGTCAGTCCTGGAAGCAGAACAAATCCCTCCTTGAGGGGCCTTGGATGATCCCGGGGTTGTTGAGGTGGCACATCAGGTGAGTCTGAACTGAACTGAACTAAGGAATGTGAATTAACCTGAATCTGAACTGATTTTTTGTGTGGCACATCAGGTGAATCTGCACTAGCGCAGGGAGTGTGACCCAAAGGCAGCGGGTGTTTGCTGTCCTGCCGCCCTCGGGAGGTGTTTGCTGTCCTGCCCTGCTCACCGAGGGCTGTTTGCTGTCCTGCCCTGCTCACCGAGGGGTGAGTAACTCCGCAGCTGCTGCGGGGTCACAAGACTGCCGAGATAAACCCGTCAGACCTGACGGTGAGCGCAGCAGCACCGGCTAATCCCTGATTCTCCTGAGCTCTCTGCTCTTAATCCCACAGAAATTAATTAGCGGGGGGACAACAGGAGAAGGGAGCGGGGGGATCCCGAGGGAGCGGGACTGGCGGTGCTTGAGGCAGGGAAGGAGGGACAGAGGTGCTCTCCCCTCTCCATCCTCACCGCGTCCCCTGGGCAGAGGTGGGAGGGGGAAAAGGGGCGGGATAAACGTAATGGGACAGTAAGGAAGGAGATCCCCCTGATGGCAGCGGTCGGTGGAGTGTCCTGAAGCTCGTTAAAGGCAATTAAATTCCTCTAATCACCTGACAGCCTGGATTAGGGGGCTCCCAGCAGCCCCTCTGCACCTGCCTCTGCAGGTTGGGGAAGAGAAGGATCCAGGGAAATCCTACAGCCCTTTCCAGGGCCTGAAGGGGCTCCAGGAGAGCTGGAGAGGGACTGGGGACAAGGGATGGAGGGACAGGACACAGGGAATGGCTTCCCAGTGCCAGAGAGCAGGGACAGATGGGAGATTGGGAAGGAATTGCTGGCTGGGAGGGTGGGGAGGGGCTGGACTGGATTTCCCAGAGAAGCTGTGGCTGCCCCTGGATCCCTGGAAGTGTCCCAGGCCAGGTTGGAGCATCCTGGGCCGGTGGAAGGTGTCCCTGCCCATGGCAGGGGGTGGCACTGGGTGGGCTTTAAGGTCCCTTCCCCCCCAAACCATTCCATGATTCCATGACTGCCTTCAGCCATCAGGGAATTTCCTGCTTCCCTCATTTCCCTGTTTCTCCTCTTTTTTCATTGTTCTCCTGTTTCCTGACGAGGGCAAATCCCGCTGAGCCCGTCCAAATCCCCGTTATCCATGGGTTTTAATGGACTCTCTTTCCCTGCTTTTCCGAGCCCGGGTCCATCCCTGCCCGCCCCTCCCGACTCTCCCGGTCCCTGGAAGTGTCCCAGGCCAGGCTGTGCTGGCGGGAGGTGTCCCTGCCCACGGCAGGGGGGTGGCACTGGACGCGTGGGCAGGAAGGGCCCACGCTCAGGGAACGAACGAGCCCAGACACGGCACGGGGGGGATGCACGGGGCGTGGGGGTTTATTCATCTGCACCGTCCCGGCCGAGGGAGGAGCGCTCTGCTGACTGCCGGCTCTCAGTTCTGCTTCTTCAGGACGTGCTCCATGATCTTCTTGAGGCCCATCCAGGTCTCGGTGGCGGCGGGGACGATCTGGTTGGCGGGCAGGAGGAACCCGTAACGCCCCGTGTCGCGCAGCTCGAAGGCGAAGGAGTATTTGATGCCCTGGTCGTAGGCCCAGTCGATGCTGCCCCCGCTGGCCTGGTCTGGAAGGCAGGGAATGCAGGGATGAGCTCGGGAATCCGGGAGCTCGGGGGTCCTGCCTTCTGTGTTTGGGAGGGGGAAGGGGGGAGGTTTGGGGGGATGATCAGAGATGGTGTTGGGGGGGAGGTCACACTGTGGGGGCGTTTGGTTGGGATTGGGGTGCTGAGATAGGGACTGGGGTGCTGGGACAGGGATTGGTGTGCTGGGACAGGGATTGGGGTGCTGGGACAGGGATTGGGGTGCTGGGACAGGGATTGTTGGACAGGGATTGTTGGACAGGGATTGTGGGGACAGAGATTGGTGTGCTGGGATAGGGATTGTGGGGGACAGGGATTGTTGGACAGGGATTGTTGTCCTGGGACAGAGATTGTGGGAGGGACAGGGACTGTTGTCCAGGGACAGGGATTGTTGTCCAGGGACAGGGATTGTTGTCCAGGGACAGGGATTGTTCTCCAGGGACAGGGATGGTTCTCCAGGGACAGGGATGGTTGTCCAGGGGC